GCGTATGGCTTGTAGAAGTGGTTCCAATGAGATTGCAAATATTAAGGGAGAGAGAGGGCATCCCTGCCTAGTCCCATTTGTGATGGTGAATATTTGGGCTTCAATGTTGGGTAGTAGGAGTTTTCCAGTTGGGCGATTGTAGATTGCCGTCAGGGCGTTCAGGAATCCGGCCGGGAATTTCAGGTGTGTTAGTATTTGGTACATATATGGCCAGAGAAGGCGGTCGAACTCCTTCTCTTCATCCAGCGAGAGTATTACCGATGGTATGTTCCGGTTCTGGGAGTACCAGATCGTGTTGAAGGCTCTCCTGGTGTTGTCTGATGCCTGTCTTTTGGGGATGAAGCCGACCTAGTCTGGGTTGTTTAAGCTTGGGGAGGTATGTGTTGAGGCGATTGGCCAGGGCTTTTGTGAGGATTTTCAGGTCAGTGTTCAGAAGTGATATTGGTCGGTAGTGTCCCGGGTCTAAATGTTCTTTTCCCGGTTTGGGCAGGAGGCATATGTCGGCAGCGAGCATGTCCGGGAGGAGGGGTTGACCCTGTAGAAGAGAGTTGAAAGTTTTGCCTGGGCTTTTCATGGGTTTTAGTGTTCTGAGGACCTGGGCGAGTTCTTCTCCCTCGATGGGTGATTCCAGCAGGGCTTGTGACCGAGCGGGTAGAGTGGGTAAATTGAGGGGTTGGAGGAAGGAGGAAATGTGCTCCTATTGGGCTTTGTCCCCTGTGGATAGTGGTGATTCAGTGTGGTTGTATAGGTTTGTGTAATATTGTAGGAATTCTTGAGCTATTTTGTCTGGGCTGTTCATGATCTCTCCATTTCGGTTTCTGATTTTGGAGAATTTTTTATTGTCCTGTTGTTTTTTGAGGCAATTTGCTAGGAGGGAGTCCGCTTTATTACTCTTCTCATAAAGGTTTCGTGCTACATCTGCTGTGGAGAGTGTTTGATGAGCTCTCGCGTGGAGGTAAGCTGTGTGAGCAGCATGTCCGAAGGATTTTGTTTGTGGAGTGTTTCGAGCTTCGTTAATCTGATTAGTGCCTCTGTTAGGTATTTGAGGTGCTGTTTTTTGAGGGCTATGGCTATTGCTATCAGCTGGCCTCATATTGTCGCTTTCTGGGCTGCCCACACTGTCGTCGGGTCCATGTCTTCTGTGGCGTTGATTTCAAAGTAGGTTTTAAGTTGTTTGGTTATGGTGTATACTGTTGCTTTGTCCCGTAGAATCCACGGGTTGAGGCGCCAGTGCCACGGGCGTGACAGTTGTGGGATTTGTAGGTTCAGCGTGATCTCCGCATGGTCAGACCATGCGATGTTTTCTATGTGCGTGTGGGTGGTCCAGGGTTGGACCGACTGCGAGACGAGGAAGCTGTCTATGTGTGAATATGACTGGTGTGTGTGGGAGTAAAGAGTGAAGTCCTTGGATGCCGGGTGGTGGGCTCTCCAGATGTCCAGTAGGGGTGTCTCATTGAAGAATGCCGTGTATAGTTTGTCGTTCCTTGTCGGGACTGGTGTGGCTCCTGTGTAGGTTCTGCGGTCTATGGCGGGTGTCTGTGTCGCGTTGAGATCGCCTCCGATAATTAAGTGTTTGGCTGAGATGCTGTCGAGGTGCGACTTAAAGGTGCTCCAGAATGTGGTATCTGGGGTGGTCGGCGCATATACGAAGCATACTGTTAGCGGTGTTGTGCCCATTTGCCCTGTGAGGATAAGATATCTCCCGTTAGGGTCTTGGAGTGTACGTATGCTCTCTAATGGGCAGGAGTTGCGTAAAAAGATGTCCACCCCCTTTTTTTGGGTTCCGGGGAGTTGGCTAAAAAGTGTCTTTTGAAGTGTCTGTTGGTCAGTGGGAAGCATTTCCGGTCGGTGAAGTGGATTTCCTGGAGTAGGATTATGTCCGCACCTGTGCGGTTGGCCCAGCGGAGTATCCCATGTCGCTTGCCTGGGGAGTTTAGTCCAGTCACGTTGAGGGAGGTTAAGCGGATCTTTATATTCGGTGGTGCCATGGCGTGTTGATGGGTGTCTTCCCGTGGGGATGAGCCGTTCGGGACTGGCACCGAGAAGGGCTCGGATTGGGTGTACTTTGGTATTCGGGGGGAGTAGGTGGCTTGGTGGGGGATGGGGATGAAGGGGGAGGAGTGGTGGGTCGTGGGTCCTGGCGTGCGCAGGTGCGGCAGACCGCCGGGGCAGTCTTTTAGAGTGGTGTGGGTGAGAACTGGGCTTATCAAACTGACCAGTTGCGGCATAGGCGGGGGGCTCGGTCTCCTGTCAGAGTGTCCACTCAGTGGGTCTGGAAGGTTGCGAGTCCTTAGGGAAGGGTGTTGACAAGTTGTGGCAGGTCCTGCCTTTGACCTGCCTGTAACTGGGCTAGGTTGGCTGAGCTCGGGGCTTGGGTCGGGGAAGGAGGGGACGGGGCCTGTGGTGGTTCATGGTGTCCATTTGTGGTGTGGTGCTAGGCTCTTGGGTGCCTGGTATTTGACGGCGGGGGGTGGAGGCCGCCCGCCGCAGGGCGATGTATCTGCTCTGTGGCAGTATCGCCTTGCCTTTGCTATAGTGTTGTTGTAGGGCAGGGTGGTGCGATGCGGAGCTGGTGTCGTGTTCTGTGGCTAGATGGCCTTGGGCAGGTGTGTGTTGGTTCTTTGTGCGTGGGGGGGTAGCATGTGGCAGCCTTGCGTGTGGTCCCTTTTTGGGGGATCCTCCGGCTGTGGTGGTTTTAGTGCAACATTACTATAACATTTTTAAAGTTTCAGTGCTACTATTGATTTCATTAGACATAGTATTTGTGCAGTGGCAACTGTTTCAACATCGTAAGTGTAACATTATTATAACAGCGTTAGTACAATATTTTTAAATGAAAAAAAAACATTGTTTATATGACAGTAGGCATTGTATCATGCGAGGGCAACCAGTTAGACACAGCATTTGCGATCAGGTGGTCTAGTGGGGGTGTTTTGCGGGGTTGGGGTGACTCTACGTTGTATGGAGCGTGGCATTTGTTCTTTCTGTACCTGGTTTGCTTTGGCTGTGGGTGCTTTTCAATGGTGGTTATATGACTATCACTATTACAGTCCTATAGTTCCCACTGTCCGTCTTCATGTACCTTCGGGCCGTGTGTAATGTCTATACCGTTGCTATAGTTTCAGTACAACAATTGTTAGCGTTGGGCTTAGTATGTGTGCAGTAGCTGCTTTTTCAGCTGCGTTAGTATAATTTTATTATTACATCGTTAGTACAGTGCCGTGACCTGTTTGTAGTATCATTTTTACAACTTCAGGTATTGAGTCATGTGACAGCAATCAATTAAACGTAGTGTTAGTGACCAAGTGGTCTGGTGAGGGTGTTTTGCGGTGTTGGGGTGTATGAAGCGTGATGGTCACTCTTTCTGTGCCCTGTTTGTGTTTATCTATGGGTGCCTTTCACCAGTGGCTGTACGTCGATCAGCAGTTGAGTCCTATTATTTCCCATCGGTCCTTATGTGCCTTAGGGCCTTGTGGGACATTTCCTATCCCTGTCTAGTGTGGGGGTTCTCGCTTGATGTGGTTGTGATAGCTGAGCCTGTTGTGGTGGGGATTTCTGGTATAGTGTAGTCGGTCTGGTGTAGGGTTTGTGCTTGTTGGTCTGCCATTCCATTGTTTCATGTCGTGTGTCTCTGCATGTTGTGTGTGGGGTGAGGGTGTTTTGCAATCATCTACTGGTCTCCTATCATGGTGGTTGCGAGTCCTAGGTGAGCTGCTGTGTGTCTATTGGCCGGTGGTGGTGCGGATGTGTGGCGGCCGTGTGTAGATCTCGGTCCTGGAGTGATGTGTATTATTGAGTCACTATAGTGTGGTCTCAGAGCTGTCTAGTGGCGTTGCGTATCTTGTTGTGTGGTGCGTTCCCCTGTCATTGTTCCCTTTTGGGGGTGCGTGTGTGTCTTTTGCGTGTGTTTTGGTAAGGCTGGGCAGAGTGGCTGGGTCTGTGTGCACAGCGGCCCGACTCGGCCTGTCTTTTGTTGCTTGGACCTCTAAACATGCCAGGGTGCATGGGCAGTGGTCTGTGGTCTTGGGGGTGGTGTGTGCTTTTTGTTCGTCTGTCTCTGCCCCCCGGTAAGGGTCCTGGACGGCGCCCCCGCGGTCCGCCTACTACGGTCCCGGGGGGGGGATCCGCCAGGTGCCCCTTTCAGGCTTTACCTGGGGTGGTGGCTAGTCCGCCCCTGGTTGGTCTGGCTAGGTATGAGTATGTGGCGGGGCACAGATGCGCCGTCCGGGGCGGGAGGTGTCACTTGACCCCCCTGTTGTGGCCTTCCCGGTGTGGCTTTGGGTTTGGTGGAGCATTTCCTGTTAAAGTTGTTGGGTGCTTCGGGGGCCAGAGTCCAGGTCCCCCCTGATGGTAGGCCAAGTCGTATTTGGTCTGTGTGTGAGGTGCTTGTGTTCTTAGGGTGGCATCGGTGTTCCCCTGTCTTGTGTGCAGGTTGATGAATGAGGGACCTGCCTTTCCACGGATCTGTCCCCTTTGTCCCGAAGTACCCCCCCTACCCATCGGGGTATTAGTAGGTCGGCGGTCGAGGACTCTGGTAGTAGGTTTTGGTACACTACTGTGAGGGTATCTGTGAGAAGCTCGGTGGATACAGATTCCGGTATGCCTCTCACTCTAATGTTGTTTCTCCTTGTTCTATTGTTGAGGTCTTCATTGGTGTTTTCGAGGGAGCAAAGCTGCTCGCCTAGGTCTTGTTGCTCCCTGCCGTGTGCCTGCACTGCTTCCATCGCCTCCGCCATTTTGGTCTCTGTGGCCTCCGTGCAGGCTGTAAGGTCCACCATTCCCTCCATAATTGGGCTCAGTCTCTTGTCCAACTCCTCAGCAATTTTCTGAAGTCTGCGATGAAGCCTCACATATCCCGTCGGGTCAGCGGTGCCTCCACTCTGTCCAAGGCCATCTTTGGCACACTCAGAGTCCGATGGTGAGTGTGCCAAAGATGGCACTTTGCCTTCTCTGTCTTCTGTCGCAACTGCAGAGTTGCGTGTTTTCTTGCCACCGCCCATTGGGTGGGTGAGTGTAGGTGTTGGGGTGGGTGGTGGTGAGGGTTTTGGGGGTCTGGGGGCTCAGGTGCTCTTGATGGCTGTGGATTTAGGCTAGGCCTTGGCAGAGCTCAGGGATTATGCTGCCATTCACTTGCTCGGTTAGGCTTCGCCTCCAATATGAGTGTTCTAAATCAATAAAACATATTCTGATGATGAAATCACCAGTAAAAGTGCAGTTTTGTGTAACAAAATGCAAAATACAAAGAATAATGCTAACTTTGGCCAGTGTTTGTGACTAAGTGGCTACTACAAAAGACTGGACATACCCCATTTTGAATACACTAGGTTGTCTACTTTTACAAATGGTATGCCATGATGGGGTTAATTTTAATTCCTGGGCTGCTATATGGTCTCAAAGGCAACATAGGCCCAGCAAACCAATCTGGTAAATTTCAATGTGCAAACATGGAAAAGGGGAAAGCCCTACATTTGACCCCTGTAAGTTTGCAAAAGCCCATAAAACCTGTACATTGGGGGCACTGTTGTACTCGGGAGATGTTGCTGAACACATATTGGGGGTTTCTTTGTCAGTAACACATAAACAGAACTAAAAATCCATGCCTAAAATACAATGTGAGATTAAAAAAAAGACTAAACAAATGTTTGACAAAGGCTGGTGGTAGAATTAGAGCATGGAAAGTGTTAAAATACCACCATTTGAAATACTCTAGGGTGTCTACTTTACAAAAATATATGGCTTGATGGGGGTAAATTATATTGTCCAGCTTCAAAAATGCCCCAAATAGGACATGGATGCATGATGACTAACTGTGAAAATTCCAGGTTGGAAAACTGAAACACGCACCCTCCAAATAAGGTCTTTTAGCCCCCAGAGACCCAACACACCTATACATGGGTGGTATCACTGTACTCAGGAGATGTTGTTGAACACATATCGGGGTGTTCTTTTGCAGTAACACCTAAGAGGAGCTGAGAATCCATGCCTAAAGTAGAATAAGTGTGAAAAATAATAAACACAAAAAAACTAGAAAAGCTAAAATTTCTGGGGAAATTGTGTGAAGTGTTCTTCTTGCCTCCACCAGTAGTCTACAACTGGAGTGGACGGAGTAACTTGGTGGAGTGGCTTGAGTAACTGTTGTGTGGTTGGAGTGGCTGGAGTAACTGTGGAAAGGTTGGAGTGTGGTTCACTCACTTTACAGCAAGGGCAGAGAAGAGCTTTCAAATCTTTAAAATCCCCCAAACATTCCACCAACTGCCAACAGGAACTAATAGATTTCAAATAGGGCAGAGAAGAGCGGTTAAAAACAAACAGCTCCAAATTGTATAAATCCTTCAGCGAAGAGCTTTATATTGTGAGAATCACAAGACCCAGACCTACATTTTGATGTATAGTATGTCTCTGAAATATTAAAAATGAAGGCACAGTCGCAGTTTAGATATTAGGTGGAGCTGCGTAATGTCCTGTGTTATCTGTAAAACAGAGTAAATACAAATAGCGTAGAGAGTCTGAACAAATAAAGATGATAAAGGTAGAGATAAATGGGTTAAACTCACAAGATTAGAGTCATACCATCATATGACAACCCCCCAATGGTCCAAAGGAACATACCTCTAGAGTCATATGATGGTATGACTCTAATCTTGTGAGTTTAACCCATTTATCTCTACCTTTATCATCTTTATTTGTTCAGACTCTCTACGCTATTTGTATTTACTCTGTTTTACAGATAACACAGGACATTACGCAGCTCCACCTATTACCTTGTATGTATTATATTGTTTGTATAGTGGTGTAAGGGGTACCACTTTATAGGTGTATTTAGAGCTCACTTTCTAACACTGTGTACTATTTTGTTTTACATTGCAGTTTAGATATTGCCCTTCAAATTTGAGGTGGCTAGAGTGGAGTTTCAATGAATGTCAATGGACGGCATGAGTTGCAAACAAATGGACATATTGTGAAAACTATCAGGACTATGGCTTAGCCGTGGACATTTGTAGTGGCAGCAGGGATAGCTAAACGTTTTGATATAAGATTTGTGTAGGTGGGCTTGAAAATGAGGGAGTGGTGGCAGTTTAGAAATCATGTACTGGTTTTTCAGCTCACACTCTAGCTTCTGGAAAAAATAAAAATACCTTTCTCTTCTAATAACTCATAATTAGTAACCTTACTGGCATACTCAAAATTTATTTAAAACTCAATTTATATACAGATAAATTTAAAAAGAAAATAACATCTGTTAAAAATAATATGTCTATTTAGAAAAAAGCCATGCAAAAGTCCAGACCTTATTTGAAATTCTCGGCATCCCGAGATTAGGGATTTTCAACTTTTTTGTGGTTTATATTATATTTTTTCCGTGTAATAGAGGAAGGGTCCTCTAAGAAGAATACATTTATATCCATATAATGCTCTGAAGAGCAAATAAAGCTCAAATGAACTTATAAAACAATAAAAAGCACAACCTAAAAAATACAAAGGGAGACCAATAGTGCAGACTAAAAAAAGATACAAAAAGTCTTTTACAAGAATTAGAGTGTCTTGAATGGCAAAAAAATTTTTTTTGGGTAACAGTTGACGTTACCTCATTATACACTATCATTAGACATGACCTAGGACTTTCAGCAATAAAAGCTGCATTAGATTTAGATGTTGAAATTACGCATGGTTTTAATAGTTTTTTATTAGATAGTATTCATTTTATTCTTACTCATAATTTTTTCTCTTTTAATGAAGATTTTTATTTACAATTGCAAGGAACAGCTATGGGTACCAAGTTCGCGCCGAGTTATGCCAATATCTTTTTAGATTTTTGGGAAAATAATTTTATATGGACGAACAATCCATTCGGCGCAAACTTGGTATTCTGGAGAAGGTATATAGACGATATTCTTTTTATATGGGATGGCTCTGAAAGTAGTTTATTAGATTTTATTGATTATATTAATTCTAACCAAGTTAATTAAATTTTTTCTCCAATTTTTAGTCATAATGAGATTAATTTTTTAGATTTGACTATTTTTATTGAAGATGAAAAGATAAAGACAAAAACATTTTTTAAACCTACGGATGCAAATAGTTTTATTAACACAGAGAGCAATCATCATCCCAACTGGCTTCGTGGTGTTCCACGAAGTCAATTCACAAGAATTAGGCGGAATTGTACAGATGAAAAAACCTTTTTAGACCAGGCCTCTCTCCTTAAAAATAAGTTTATATAAAAGGGATATGCTAATAATTTTATAAATAAGGAGATTATGCATTCCTATAATAAAGAGAGGAGAATTACTACGAAATAAGGAAAAACAAGCCACACTGGTTAATAATAAATTTGCCTTCTCTTTTAACACTCAGTATAACACTCATGCTAAAGAAATTAAGAAAATATTAAAGAAACATTGGCCTCTTTTATTAGAAGATGATTTTTTAAAAACAGAACTCCCCCCTGTCCCACAAATTATTTTTAGAAAAGGGAAAAGTTTTAAAAATGTTTTGGCACCAAGCACCTTTAGAAATGGTAATAAAGAAGGAGTAAAAAAACCTGTGGGGTTTTATACTTGTGGTTCATGCAAAAGTTGTCATTATAAGAACCAAAAGATTTATAATTTTTCCAGCTCAAGAACAAAAAAGAATTTTAAAATTAAAGAACATATTACATGTAACTCCACACATGTAGTTTATCTCCTTACATGTGGTTGTGGAACTCAATATGTCGGACGGACTATTAGACCTGTGAAAAAAAGATTTTTAGAACATTTTAATAATATTAAAAATAAATTATTAACCCATTCAGTTCCCGTTCACTGTGATAGATGTCAGAATTTTAATCCAAGTACTTTTTCATATATAGGGATTGAAAAGGTGTCTTTAGATGCAAGAGGTGGAGATTTGGTACTTAAATTAAGGCAAAGAGAAGGTTTTTGGATTCATACTTTAAAAACAATGCAACCAGATGGTATGAATGTAGATTTCGATATGGCATGTTTTTTGTAATATGTTCCTTGTATTTATTATTATTTTTAATGATATAATACATTTGTTTTATTTATTTTAACATTTTTATATTTTTTATATTTATTTGCCTATTGTTTTTGATACAAATTTTTTTCTTTTGATGAGTGTTCCATATTTGTAAGAAGTGGAACTGTGACGGAACGCTGGCACTCCGACTGAGTACCTCCGCCAATCGATGCTCCTAGTGCTCGCTGAGGACTCCAAGCACTCCAACCGACACCATCAGCACTGCAGACCCCACTTCCAGCGATGCAACTGCGCCGGGGTCTCTGCTGTTTCCACCCACCCTGGACCCAAGGCCAGGATCCAGCTTCCAGTGGGTGAACCTCTCTTTCCCCAGAGAGCAGGAACAGGAACAAATCAAGCTATTGCAAGAGCTTCCTCTGGGGAGTAAGTGATTATAGCAATCCCCAGAGTGTAGGTATCCCTTCCCCCAAACATGAGCCAAGGATTAATGCTGGAACAAGACTGATTTACTGGCACACAGAACTCACAATTTATGCAACACAAAACTCCTCCTCTGGGCCAGGCTAGATAATTGAGTTTCTACAATACACAAAGCTCAATTATCTGCTGGCCAGAAACATTACAATTTTTACAGCATTCATAACTTCTAAAATATACATCACAGGGACCCCAAAACATGCAATAACCCCATAAAAAGTATATCCTTGGAACCGGGGGATCTGGGTGAACCACATATCCAAAATTCACCCAGATCCGTTCAGTACTTTGGAAAATACAGTTTAATGCAGATTCTGCAGAACATATACAGGCTAAATGAAAAACAATTACTGTATAATGTGTCCCCTGCTGTATAGTCCAAAACCACTGCACGATGTCTCTGTGCACCAAATACTGGCAAGATGGCACCGTGTTGAAAAGTCCAAACAGTGTCTGTGAGTTAAAATGGCCGCCATCCATTGTTCTCACCATGTGCTTCTGATACAGGAAATGGTGGCCACCCAGTAACTCCACAGTATGT